AAGGATGAATGAAGGTCAAGGTTCCCGATTTCAAGACAACCACCTCTCCATGCACATCAACCATACCCCCATGGTTACTGAGCTCCTCCACCATTATATCAAGAACCACCTCCTTAACCAAAGGTGAAGACCGAGTTTAAGATGTCCCTAGAGCGTCTAGAGGATATAAAGATAAAACTAGAGGGTATTGAGAACTCACCCTACTCCACCCCAGAACCAAAGAGCAGCTTTGAGATCGTAGTGGAAAGATTCATAGCCAGGAGTGAGAGGAAATTTCATCCTCCACCACCACCTAAACCCAAGAGTATGCATGAGTTGGCATTTGAGCACTTTAATATCCCAAATGGGGTGCATCTGTACCAGCAACCCTGACCTTCCCCCATGCCTTTTTTACAATTTTTTTTGGAGATGAAGCAAAGAAAGGGTGTTTTAAAGAGGTGTAAACCATAGGTACAAGTTCCAATGTGAAAGATACAAACCTTCCTCGGCTACACTTCCTTTTCAAACAAGAAGAGATGATGAGAGGCTAGAAAAATAAGAAGAGAGATCTAGAACAAATTTGTTCAAGACTCATTCGAGATCGCCCCTTAGCCATCATAAATGAAGAGAAATGAGAAGTGTTAGAAGAGGAAGAAATCTAAAAGGTGAACTAACAAGTGGACCTCATAAATCCATATATTGAAGACTTGCTTGGAGGACCATCAACGCTCCCATTCAACAAAAATAAACGGATAAAGAAGGAATCATTAGTGAGGTTTTGGAGGAAGAAGAAGATAATGATGAAGAGGAGGAGAAGCTCTACCTCAACAGGCACTAGTAGAAAAGGGTGACTTAGTGATCGTCAGCAATAGATGTCGGTAAATGAATGGATTTGACGGAGGCATGTGCTGTTTACTTGAGCGTCGGAAAAGTGAATGACTAGCTACGGTGGCCGGTGGGATGTACTAAGTTATTTTTTAAACATATAACGCTCTGTTTGGAAAGAGCCCTTCCCTATGTATTTGCGCCTGTTTGGCAAACTTCTGAACAATAAGGGGCGTAGGACAAGAGGGGCAAATCTACCGTTGGAGCGTGTCCCCCAAATCGGGGAGGAAGAGGAGAGAGAAAGGCTGAACGACCTCTCACTTTTTTCCTGCATTTTTTTGTCATAGCTATTATTTCTTTTCTCCGTTGAATCTGCCTTACGGTGAATCCGTCTTCGCTGGAGTGAGAGAGGAGCCGCCACCGCCGCTGGTAACGCCTGCAAAACTAAATCCATAAGCCAAAATCAAGAATCAGAATTAACCCAAACAACATGCACGCCCAAAACTTACTGGATCTAGGATTCTGATCCCTCGCTCCTCTTGCCGGTAGCTTCTCATCTTCACCCCATCTCATCTTCGCTATTCCGATCCCCCTGAGAAAGATCAACGGCGGCGGCCGGCGTGCTTGAGGAGTGGATTGATGAGAGAGAGAGAGAGAGAGAGAGAGAGAAAGAGAGAGAGAGAGAGAGAGAGAGAGTATCAGAGAAATCAGAGAAGGATGTGCGAATACTGTAAGGCCGAGGAAGAAGATGATAATTGGGGTATCTGGTCGATTTTAAGTGAGAGAGAGTGAGAGAGAGTCGGAGAAAAAGGAAAAAAAATGGAATGCTGAGTTAAGACTGAACGCGGAAAAAGAGTGGGAGAGATAAACGAGGAAGGTAAACATAATTAATTATGATTTTTCAATTATTTTTTGATAAAATATTATGAATTAAATACAATCCTATTTCAATTTGCACCCTCCTACTTTTTCTCCCAAACAACAATTTACCCCCTAATTTACACCTACTTTAAATTTGCTACCCCCTGCAATTTACGACTCAATTTGCACCCCCTTTGGATTTGCGCCCCCTCGTTGCCAAACAGAGCGTAAAGGGTAAATAAAAAATGATTTCCCTTTATTTTTGCTATTCTAAATAGTGGGAAAACATAAAATCCCAAGGCTCTGTACGCAAGAAAAGGAAAAAGTGCTCTCTCTATGGAAGTTTTGGAACCCTAGTTTCGATGACACTCTGAGTGTTCTAATCCTCCGTCTACCTATCGGCCTCATCGCCGCCACCGATACTCACATCCTCCTCTATTCTCTCCTCTTTCCTGCGATTTCCCAATTCTATTTTTGTTTTCAAATTGTCTTGTCGTTCCTCGATCTTTACCGACGTCAACACCGCTAGCGGCACCACAGGTTTCTCGATCTCTCTTTTCACCTTGCCCATATTGTCGACATGCATGGTTACGATTCCTCTTAATTGAAAGATCTCAATCTTAGTTTTCTTATCCTCCTTTTCAGAGAAGCATGAGGGAGCCAAAGGAAAGCTTCTCATATGAGTTCTTGGAGGCAGCTCTAGCTCAGTAGTCCAATATCCAACACATGCATCTGCTCAGTTATTCCGAGTAGTTATGTTGTCAATTTCGATTTCATAGTCAAACAGGGTATCACGGTCTAGGATTTGGTCCTTTCACTGGAAGCTCGAATTTAGTAGATTCTCATTTCGTTCGAAAGAGTTATTCTGCTCACAGTGGGTTTTTTGAGTAGATACTCACAGACCCACAGATCTGCCGAGCCGAGAGGAGGGAGACAGGCTCACTTAAATTAGCCGTGGTGAGTTTTTTAGCCCAAGCTGAGTAGAGAAATGGAGCCGACGGGCTGGCTTGATGAGTGGCGAAATATTGGGCGGGAATTTGGAGAAAGAAGAACAAAATTGGAGAGGTGGCTTGCAACCTAGTAAGGGCTACCCGCCGAGGGCCCATGGGCCAAAGGCTCATGAAATAGACATTTGGGCCCAACTACTTTGCTGATTGGCAAATTTTTAGGCGGGATTTTGAGATCAGAAGAAGATTTGGTGGATATTTGTTGGCTGATAAAGGGGAAGGTTGCATTAAATGATCTCAACCACTTTCACTCTCTAACCCCTCTCTCTCTCTCCTTTTTTCCTTTACTTTTATGCTCTTCCACCGTTAGAGTCGCCGGTGATCGTCACTCCCGGTGAGACTCTCCTTGCCAGTGAGCATTACTTCCGGCGGCCTCTCCTTGCTGGCGAGCAAATCATTCTTAGAAAGAATGCATTTCGACGACGACGGCGAGTTGGACGATGTCGTTGCATTCATTGTAGAAGAAGAAGAACTCGATCCTACACTAGATGAATTTGTCGATGAAGACACAGATGGTGTGGGTGCCTTCATTGTAGAAGAAGAAGAAGAAGAAGAAGAAGAAGAAGAAGAAGAAAATGAAGGTGGATTCTATTATATATATATGTTTGTGTTGTTGTGTTTTGTTGTGTGCATTGAATGACATTTAATGGTGTTGTTTGGTTTTTGGGTGTGGATATTATTTTGGATTGTCATGGATACGTTGTAGAACTATTTAAGATATTTTTCTGGGCATGTTGGATATTGTTATGGACGTGATGAAAGTGGTTGGATATTCTTTTGGGTTTTTGGGTATGGATATTCTTTTGAGTGTCAAGGATACGTTTTAGGAATAGGTAAAATATTATTCTAGGTATATTGGATATTTTTGTGGACGCGACTGATACTTTTCTCGAACAAAAGGATAAGATGTATTTAAAAGTTCGATACTTGTCGAAGCCTAAGAATTCAGTCTGTTTATGGGTACGATTTAGACGTCTATTGGATACTATTGTGGGCATGTTGGATAACTGTCTGGCCAAGTTAAATATGGATACTAACATTGCCTCATACAATTAAATCGCAGCTCACAAGACATCGGACCTAGAAGATGAGGAAACGAGGAAGAACATAATTTATCGGACTAAGGAAGAGTGTTTGGCTTTCTATAAACGCTATGCTCATGAAAAGGGTTTTGGTGTTCGAAATGCTGCGGAACACCAAAGAAAAATGAAGAATTCTAATGGAGAGGTGGAGAAAATTTATTTCTACCTTTATTACTTTTGTAATAAGCAAGGTTGGACTTCCACTAGCGAAGTAGATGTGGAGAAAAAAAAAACAGTCTGAAGACAAAGTTGTGGAGAGAAAGCGTCCTAAAAGAAAGAGGCCTCGAGTTAGGGTCGGATGTAATGCCCGTGTTCGTTTTCGATGGGATGATACTAGAGACGGATATGTGGTGTATGAATTCGTGGGAGCCCACACTCATGATTTGCACTCCACCGAGCATACGCACCTTATCAAGTCCAACAAGTGCATGAGTGATGCTCAGAAAAAGATGGCTGAAGCTAATCACGATGCCGAGATGAGTCTTAGTGCATCATATCAATTATTGGCTGACTGTGCTGGTGGCTATCAAAATATGAAATTTACCAAATCCGATCATAAGAACCACTTGAACAGTAAAAGGCAAAGGAAAATGGCTCGTGGTGAAGCGACTTATTTGCTTGACCAGTTTGAGGACCAAAAGGAAAAGCATCCTGGCTTCTTTTATGCTGTAGAGGTAGATTGCAAGGAGAAAGTTGCTAATATTTTTTGGGCGAATAGTAGGATGTGTGAAGATTATGCGCTTTTTGGAGATTCGGTCTCCTTTGATACCACCTTCGGAACCAATAAATACTTCAGTCTTCTAGGTACGTGAATCAATTAATTGCCTTGATTTTTTCATCACTCGTTCGGTTATGGATTGTCAGTAATAGTTGTCTTATGCATGGATGTTTGTACGTATATGACGGAAATGGTTATGAATAGAATGTAGGGTGGTTCGAGAGTGGTCTCTTGTGATCCTATATTGACATGGCCTAACAGGATATGTTTTTGTAAAAGGACGAATGTTAGTCTGGCATTATGAGATACAAGTATGGTTTTTACAGATATTTGTTGACATGTGTTGGCACAATATCAATTCCTAATTCCCTTAAGTTTTTTCAACACTCGTTTGGTTATGCATTGTCATTAATAGTTGTCTTGTGCAGGGATGTTTGTAGGTTTCAATCACCACCGTCAAACTTGTGTGTTTGGTGCTTGTTTGATGAGGCTACACCGTAATGGTTGTTTTTAGCATTTAGTCGGTGCATGAAGAAGAAGCTCACAGTCACTATTTTTACTGATGAGGACGTCGCCATGGAAGCTGCCCTTAGAAAGGAGTGGCCTACTGTGTTTCATGCCCTCTGTACTTGGCACATCCTCATGAATGCCAAGAAGCATCTTCGTAAGGAAGTCTACCAATCAGTAGCAGGAGCCGAGATGCTTGACCCTGATTCCCAATCCCTCCTGACACGCTCTGGACGGAAGCGAGATCTCACTTCTTCCCTTGACAACAACATGGGACCCATGATATATTTATCAGCTACCTTAGGGATATTCGAGCACACCTTATCCACCCATGGGTCGAACCAATAGCTGCAGGTCGGGATGGTTTTTGTGGCAAACCCTCTAACATTAAGAAAGTCTAGCAAATGGATCTACAAAAAAGCGTTAAAACAGATATCAGGAATGAAACGAACTACTATCCCGGGAATGGTTATTAATAACACAACAACGTAGGAAGTTGGCTAGGGGTATCGGGACCCATGTGAATATGACCTTGATTGCCACTATATTTACAACCCCATTTTAGGTTAAACTTGGCCTTGGATGAGGTAGTTATTGAGACGTGCAAACTACTGACAATGACCTGCACGAAATGAATCGATCAAGCTTTTTGGCGCCGCTACCAGGGAACCTCGGTAACTAGTAGAAAACCATCGAGTTATTAGTTTAGCCTTTATTTCATTGCATATATATATATATATATATAATTTTAGCAGTTTTATCGTTCTTGTGTCTTGTTATCCAACTTTTATGCCACGGGTTTTCAAGTTTGTGTGTGTCAATAGACTATATTTCATGTATCGAACAGAGTTGGAACACATCGTGAAGAGATTATCGCGACACTTCGTCAACAACCCCAATTTCATGGGGGGATGCCAAAAGTGCTCTCGGTCATATGTCATACTTCTTAAGTGCAGCCAAAACTATGAGTATACCGAGGTATAATCGGGATCAGATTATTGGAATCTTCTTCACTTACACTCTACGAGGGGACCGCCATCTGGTATAAGGAATTTTAAGCCACTGCCGTGCTGTGGATTTAAGTCATGGAATTTTTCGTGTACCAGTATCTGGCCGACACAAAAGCCGTTACTTAAAAGAATGATATTGTCACCTTCCAACAAAGGGCTCGACAGAATTTCCAGCAGGCGTGGGAATGTTTTGCTGTATTGACACAACTGAACCCGAATCATGGGCATTCAGAAGACCCTTTCAATGAGAGTTTCTTCAATGGACTCCTAGAGAAATACAAGGCGATTATCGAAAGGAGGTATCCAACTGGATTTTGATATAATTATCTCGGGCAAGTGAAGGAACTATACAATCAAATAGATGAGGAGGAAGCCAGCCTCTCTAGAGAGTTAGCTATTCAAAGTCAGATCAACGAAATTAGCAAGGAACTAAAGGAACTCACGAGAGAGGGCTATACAGATTCGTCTCGGGTAGAACAAGTCTTCGCACTTAATACAAGGGTAACTCACCAATATAGCCCCTCTCCTCCGCATCTAGAACATCCTTCAAATCATACAAATAAAGAACCTTGTGGGTCTCGTCGGGAGTTGAAGCATCGATTCAAACGTTTGAAAGAAAGAGTATCATATTACTAAACGGGAATTCATCGTCAGGACCCAATCGAGAGAGATGACTCATGTTTGTTCTCCATACCATGCTCTATTAAGGAGTTTACTATTAAGGATGTCTTCGTGGACCTCTTTTCTTATCTAAATGTGATGAGCTTCGACTTGTATCGCCTTTCTACTTTTCCGCTCTCTTCTACATTTTGCCCAACTTTCCTACCTTAAACTGGCTGGAAACGTGGATTAAGAGAATGGACCTCCTTCCCTTCTTCTGTGAATACTCCGCTTTACTTTTACTCTTGAACTTGGCATGCAGGAGAAAGAAGCTCGACAATGTTTAGACAAGGGACAAATCGTGCAAGAAAAGCGGGATGATTTGACACTCAAAGCTAGTAGCACGTAATATTAAACCATCAAGAATTGAGGTTGTAGGACCTGAGACCAACGGACATGGCCATACAACTGGACGATAAGTCAATAGCTAACCCCATGGGGATCATAGTGGCCTTATTGGGAAGATTTGGGATGTTTATTTATCCAGTAGACTTTGCAGTGGTGGATGCGGGACAAGAGCTCCAACTCATATTTTACTTGGCAAAACTTTCTTGGCAACCACTAGAGCTGTGATTGAGGTCCTGGAAAGGCGAGTAATTATGGATTATGGTGAAGATAAGTTGATCATACATCTCTCTAATGGTAGAAAAGGATTTTTTTACCTCGTTCTCTTCTTACACAGGATCGAATCTCCCAACTACTCAAGTACCTCCAAGTAAACTGATTTTGGATTCCGCACTAGCACAACCTCCTCGGACAAGTAAGGAGATACCCCTAGAAGAGGAAATATCGACTGATCAAATGCTCAAAAGGTTTCTTAAGAAAGCCACCAAACCTTCAACCCCTAACCATGATGCCACAATAAATTTATCTTCGGAGTCGTTAGTCAAGGGAAGCACCGAAAGACTTCATCGTTTGCACTTAGACCTTTACCATAAGGGTGTTTTTAATGACACCACTAATGGTGAGGGGGTTTCTTCCACTTGATGATCTATCTTGATCAAGGATTCCAACGAAAAGACTTCAAAGACACACTTATTGGGCGTTACCCCAACACTTCAGTTTGTTCTTTGTTTACCTTATCCTCTTAAATATATGTTTTCTAGAACCCCTTAGATTAGGCATCATATTTTGGTACTATAAACCTCAAAATTTTTGTTAACTTGTAAGCCAAATGGTAGAATAAGAGATTTTAAGATCTCATCCGCTCACGAAAAAGATCACGATCGCGACCTAGCGGTACTAGCCTGCGATCTTGCGCGTGCTAAGGTTGAAAACCCCATCTGGTGGACTATGCAAATTTTACTATCATTCTCCGTGCTCTTCATCTCTTGTGGTATGCTCCCCCTCTAGGATGACTTTTCAATACCTGCATTAGCCAACCATGGGAGTGAATATTTGTCGATTAGAGTATAACTAATTCAAGGTTGCAATTTTGCGCTTGTTGACATATCTAAGGTTAGTGTCTATAATTTACTCTCAAGATGAATGTTGAGATTCTTTCTTTGGTTGCTACCTTGACATGTGCCTAATGTGATGTTTGGCAAAATGCTTTTGTGTTCTCTTCCTTCTTACTCCTGGGTTTGAGGGTGACTCTAGTGTTTAGTGAACTCTTTGCTCATCTTGGGTGTTATTCTTTGGGGGAAATTCTTTTACGCAAGTTGCTTTCATAATATGCCCACAAGGTGTTTGATCAAACTCTAAGTGAACAAAAAGTTTGATAAGGAACTTTATGGCCTTTAATCTTGCTTGCATTTCTTTTGTGATGATCTTTCAACAGTATTTCGTCTATTACCTCCCTATGACTTTGGTCTTCCCATGTTTTTTTAACCCGCCTTTTATCTTTGTGCTTCTAAGCTAATGAGAATTCTATCCAAATTTTGTCTAAGGATGGGTAAGTCAAAGAAGATTCTCGAGTCAACAACCTCAATCAAGGGAAGAAGGAAAGCCCCTCATCCATACCTTGAATTTGGAAGCAGACAAAGACGAATATGCACACTCTACCTCAAGAACCTTGGGGAGCACCGTTGTATCTATTGGGAGCTTTTAAGGGAATTTGGGGCCACCGCCCCCATCCAAGCTCTTATTCGTGACCGGGTATGGCTCAACCTTTTCACAATCAATGAGAAGAGTTATTTCGAGCCAACTCTTGAGTTCTTGACTACCTTGAATTGTGATGACTCGATATTTGCACATGTTTTTTCCCTTTCTTTCTTGATCATTTGAGCTTTAATTATCGCGTCTTTGGCCTATTTTACGCTAGGTTGTGTTCCTTTATCACATTTCAGGTCCTAGCACATAAAGCGCAAGTTTCAAGTCAATCAGAGATCAATTGGCGATTAGGGAGAAGAAACTCGGGCATGACCTGAAGAAGAATGGATTTCTACCTCACTTTATGGACAAAGAATCATGCAAGCTTGTCCTGAAAAGAAAGAGGACAAGACTACAAGCGTGTGGCATCAAACGGCGACTGATTCCAAGTCCGGACGAGGGAGAAACAAAGCATTGAATATAGGGGAACAGGTTCGGCAGTAAAAACACGGGCGCGCCTAAAGAAAAACACGGCCGTGTCCATATTTAGGCACGACCGTGTTTTGGCCGACGAGGGCTGCGGGGGGCAAAACACGGGCGGGCAAAAGTAAAACACGGTCGTATCCTCGAGCGTGTTTTGCCCAGAATCGGGTTTTTTAGGCAGATTGAAGCCAAAGGAAAGGGAGAGCTGGGATTTGGATCCAAAACACCCAAGGGACGAACCCTAGAGAGAGAGAGAGCAACTTGGGAACATTCTTGGAGATATTTTGGAGGATTTCATCGCCATTGGAGCTCGGGAATCAAGCTTGGAGATGGAGATTGAAGATCTAGATCAGATTTCTGCAATCTCTCTCTTCTTTATGGAGTAACTTCCCTTCACTTAGGTTTTGAGGAACCCTAGATATGTTTGTTTGATTGGATGATTGTATGAGTACTCTGACTTGATAACTTTGAGTTCATATTCAATCTATGCTTGTTTTCATGATTCAATTCTGCTTTAGTCGAGATTATTGATTCTGCTTTGATCCTGTGACAGCAAATACCTGATTAGGTCAATAGAGCACCATAGATTGATAGTATTGGATCGATTGCTTTAGTCGAGGTTGATTCGCTGCTTTGTATCGATTGAGAACATCTTTCGATAGAGGGAGTCTAGTTCAGAACGCCTTGATCGGTTGTTCTAGGGAAGGATACGTCCCTCTAGGCAATTGACTCAAGAGGGCCTTGTTCCTTTAGTCGAGACTCAAGGTCTAGTCAAGGATTCTCCGCATTGTGAATGAAATTGAAACAGGTTAGAGATCATCAATCATTAATCTGGCTAGTGGCTAGGGGGAATCATACCTAAGTGAGTTCCCAACTTGTAATTAGATTAACTTTAACTGTAGTTTGCTATAGTAGTTTTAGTTGTTCTATCTTAATCTAGTTTGCTAGATAATGAACTGAAGCTGAGTAATAGTAACTCTAGAGACCCGTGGATTCGATATTTATTACTTAAGCCACTAACTGCAGTCCCTTTCATTGGTTACACTTGGCCATTGTTAGGAGTTGTGTCATAGCGAGTCAAGTTTTTGGCGCCGTTGCCGGGGACTTTCTAGGTTATTAGGAAAGGCAGAAGTTTGTTACTTTAGCGTTTTTCTTTTCTTTTCC